ACGTGCAATTATCTTGAACATATCACCAGACCTTCTAAGGGCCATAAATTCGTAGCCAAATGCTGTGACACCGATTTTTGCAACAAGCCGTTGAAAAAAGTCAACAAGTGCAGTAAGTCACTTATACAGTTTAAGGCAAACCAGCGATGGGATCACCTCTCACTAGGATATTTTAGAACATGACGAAATACAAACGTCACCTCAAAGACTTTAGATGGACAATATTTATTAATTATTTTTAAAATATTTCTAAGACCAAAATCAAGAGAAAGTATTATTCGATGTTTTTGAATAAGTAAAGTGTAGCGACGATACTCAGAACTTTGTAACTTGATGAAGCTTATCAATATTTTCATTAGGACTGTAGTACGGATTTAAGTAAACTTTGTCTGAATAGCGTTTTATCCATCCACTGACAATAAAGACGTTGGCTACAGCTCGCAATACCACGAAAAATGAAACCTTACTCTTGTAAAAGTTTTAACCCGTACCTTTCAACCCTACCCTTTTAAGGTGATGCTTATGTACCCGGAGAGTGTTTACAAAGTTGAAATAAAAAAATGATGTTTGAAACAAGTATATTCTTTCAATGATAACAAAGACGAACCTGCCCCACTGACACATCGGTTGGGCAATCGCTCGCCCAACCCTGAAAATAATAATGTTCCAAGAAGTCTATTCCAAACAAGAACCCACATCTCGAATTATTTATCAATATCTCGCATTGATCTCGAAAGCTAACTCTCCGGTCCGCTTGACAAATAGCTCAATCTGCCCTCCTTCGTTCTCATCTCCGCAGAGGCAAGTGTGTATAGTAAGTACATATTCGTCTCTACCGGCAACGTGAAGGTGTCACGTTTCCGCGGTAGCCGTCCAGTTGGCCGGGCAACAACGTGCGAACCAACCGAACCCCGACTAATGAATAGTATAAATATCCCGGTATGCCAGTTATAATATACACTTTCTCCTCGCGTCATGAAAAATTGCCGGTGCCTCGGGTCCACAAGGTATTATAATAATAATAATCATCATCATCATCACAATATTGCAGTAGCGCGAGCGAGTGTCGACCCACCGCCGTGCAACCGACGTCCCGTGGCGCGAGGATGAGTCCTGGTTCCACACGTGTGCAGCTGTGTGCGATCGGACGGGGCCAAGAGAGACGCCCGTGCATTTATCTCCCTCGTATATATATAATCGCTCGGCCACCTTGTAACGACTCTTTCTCTCCATACTACCACTGCTACTGAAGCTCCTTTCTTTGCTCCCTTATTTTTTATTATTTCACTTTTCCATTTCCGGTGCTTTTTTTCCGTTTTCTGTATGTATAATAAGCTAGTATATACGGACGGGATGATGCACATTGCTACTGTAAATTTTTTTACAAAATGTGTAGTTAAATTAGAGAAAGTTGTTCCGCGAATGGCTTATTGTATTTTTTCTGAGTAAAAGGTCCTTGTAAAAAACAATTTAAGAAAACAACCATCAGAAGCATGTGTGGTGAAGCAGAACGATTCCAGGGAGTCTCCTCCTCGGCTGCGCGGCACTGGAGCCCAGTGAGCCCCAGCGATTTGTCTTGATACAAAAGGGACGCGCTCGGACAAATTAAAAGTAATGATTTGTAGAAATATTCGCTGGGGAAAACTGGGGCGGCCCATTACGGGTACCTAATGCCTCATCTGTTAGCCCCTCCCCGCACCACCTCGTTCGCGAGCGAGAGTTGGCTCTCGCGTTTATATACGCTGTACCCATATATACCTGCCCAAGCTCCCGAGGAACGAGTCGGCGCTCCTTTGGGGCATGTGCTTACACAGCTCCATTTATATAATATCCTGAAGGATGGATAGTTGTTGTGTATGGTAGTCGTTGTGTACTTAATAGCTGGTGTGCACCTACGTATGGTGAGCAGAAGTTTTCGAGGAGCCGAGATTCGAGAACCAACGGGGCAATTAATGGCACATGAGCTCTGCGTTGTTGCCGATGGCGATTCGTGCTGGTTTGATTTTTTTTATCATACGTATACGCTCCTTGGATTATTTTGGTGTAGCTGTATATTATTCCGAAGGGTATGTCAGGAGCAATGCATTTTACTTTACTGTTTCAATAAAATTAATACACGTACTCGTCTGTGTTTAAACGGAGAAAAAAATATTACAGGGCTCATTTTGTACCTTATCTATGGGATCTTGTGACCATTGAAACAAAAACAATCATACCTCATTTTTACTAGTAAAAAATATTAGCCCTTCCCTCTCAAAGATCTCATGAGTAGAATATGAACATTTCGCGACCTTTTCCAATAACCACGTAGTACGACGATAACAATGCAGTATACACACAAATAATACTCCCAAGTGACGTGGAGTAGCCACTCGATACTACCCGAGCATACATTCTTCTCTGTATCCAACCATCGAATCTGTAAGTTGCTTGTATAAAAAATAAAAAAAAAATACCGCTGCAAGCTCCTGTGCATAGTAGTACTCGCGAGCCCCACACATCCATCCTCGTGCGTCTATGTGTGCGAATGGCTCGTAATCAAATAACGGAGAGCCTGCAAGGCGGCGTCGAACGATATCAGTCTACGCGCGAGCGCTGGAGAGAAGCTGCGAGCTCAGCAGCCCGCCCGTTCCTTGTCCCGGACACACCCCCACCGTAACCTACCCCTCTCTCCACCGTCGTTCTTTTTTCGCATCTGATGAGTGCCTTTCCTCTTTTTTTTTTTTTTTCCTTATCCACGATCTGTTTTTGTGACGCTCCTGTATCGTTTCATTTAAAGTCATCTCGTTATCCCCATCATCGAGTCAGCGAGGGGAAGAAGAAAGACGAGCCACCCAGGGCACATACACACCCTCGCAGTCTCGATTTTTCACATTCGCACTCGTAACTAGCCATCACACACGCGCAAGAAAAAGAAAGACAACGGGAGGAGGGAGAGTCGTCAAGTCGTCGTTGTCGGGGGGAAGACGAATGCGGTTTAATATTGTCCAAAGATCCCTCGTTGCCCCCAAAGAGAGGGATGACTTTGGGGGTGTACACACGTACTGGCTTCCCGTCGGCACGTCACGTTTTCCGAGCGCAAAGTAGAGCATCGAAGACAGAAAGCCAGAGTCCACTTCGCGTCCCGTTGACTAATGCCCTGCTCGTCCTTCGCTGCCCGGGGGATTTGCCCGGACGGAGTAGGTGTACGCGACGATGGACCCGACCCGGCCCACCCTCCCTTTTTCCCTTACTCGTGCCTCTCCGGATTCCCATTCGCTTTGTCGTGTACTCCGCGAAAAATAATTCGCGTCTTTTTGATTCTCGATGACCCGAGTTTATAAATTTTATTTAAAAAAAAAAAGGATAAGTCATAAAATAAATCGAATAAAGAAAACATGAGCGTCACGAAGCGTGGAGAAATATTATGTATAACAGCTGATGTTTGCTACGCTCTTGTGCAACGGGAAATCTTTATTGATTCTACAGACTCGCGCGAGTATCTCGCTCGTCTCCCGGGGGGGGGGGGTCAATGCGATATCCTTTTTTTTTTTCTTCCTTTGCGCACTTCTCTCGAGGCCTCCCTCCAGTTGTCGTATACACACATCGGATTCGCGTATAGGACTACTCCCTGGCGTTTTATATCCTCGGAGTTTGTGTATAAAAAAAGGGGGGGGGGTAGGGGAGGCTATCGATGTGTTTTGAGAAATTGGCGAAATCTCGCGCTCGTATGCGCGAAAAATCGAGGGGCTTTGCGGCCCCCCCATTGGAAGGATACGTGAAACTCGATAAAGACGAGTCGAGCACATATCGCTTGGACTCACCCTCGCTGTTTCTTATGAATATTTTTCACCACCGGCGCGTTTATATATATTTGTTCCCTGCCTCGGAGTTTTCTTTTGCTCGATGTGCTTGTTCGTAAAACTTTTTTCATGCGCTGTATCGAGATGAAATTTTTCCGCGCCAGTTTATGCGTTTCCGTATGGCGATGTGACGGTGATTTGGTATATTTGTGCGTACATACGCGTACGAGCATTGGAGTCTTGGGTTGAACGTTGTAGTAATGAAAAAGCGCGGATATGATTGGACAGAACGTATCCAACGGGCAGTTGAAATTACGCCGAAAGCCACAATTAGCTTCGTTGGCTTCTCTGAAGGGCCAGATAATTAGACAATTGAATTTCCGAGGGTGCGGCCACGGGAGGGAGATGATAGTATTGGGGAGGGCAAAAAGCTTCGTAAAATCCTAAGTAGAGGCATATTGGCCGACCCCGTGTGACCGCGAGCTTTGGCCTTTCTCCTTTACCCACTGTACCGCACGTATGATGGTGGTTTTCGGCAATTTGAAGATCCCAGTAATCCCCACAATGACCTCCAATTGTGGCATAAACGATGCGATTAAATTTCCCTACTTTTTTTGTTTGTTTACAAAATTGCTGAATCATAATTATCAACAACTCTATTTTTTAAACAGTACACCGAGACTAAAAGCCATTGAATGATAATAAAAGTAGAAAATTAAATATTTTTTTGATCATAATTACTAAAGCAGAAGTGATATAATGTTACTGTATAACATTATTCGATCATCGACTTCTTTGTTATATTGTGACTCTCCAGCGCCAGTACCAAGTATGACAGTTTTCGTGCGCTTATCACAAAGTCAAGCTTAACTCACCAATGCTCAAATTATAATCAATTAATCAAGTACAAGTAATTTATAGACACTCCTCCGACTGTTTGGTTTCTCGCAGTTTTTGTTCAGAGTCTGTTAGTTAAATGGTGTCATCAAAATACGTACACAATTTTAAATCAAAACGGTAAAAAGAAAAAAAATTTGAATGTCATAAATAACGTTATCTCATGAGCTGATAACCTTCAGACAGACATCGTTGTTTTGGATACTTTTTTAAACCTAATCTTTAGGCTTAGCGACGAGTAAAAGTACACACTTTTTTCAACAATCAACATGTTCGGCTTGATCAGTTTACTTCCTTCCCTTAGTTTTACAGTTTGGTACGATGGAGTGCGGACTTCTCGAGGCCCTAGTCGGATTTACTGTCGTAGTAATAGCTTTTTACTACTATCTAACTTTACACTTTGATTTTTGGAAGCAGCGTAACGTTGAAGGACCAAAACCCATCCCATTTTTCGGCAACCTCAAGGATGTCTTTTTTGGAAAAACACACATGGCCATGCTGACCACACGATTCTACAATGAATATAAAAATGAGCCCATAATCGGTATGTACTTGAATTGGAGTCCTGCACTGATTTTGCGGGATGCAGACATAATCAAGGACGTGCTGATTAAGGATTTTCTCGTTTTCTGTGATCGTGGAATTTACATCTCAAAAAAAGATGTACTCGATCATAATCTCGTTGCACTAGAGTATAAGAAGTGGCGACCACTGAGGAACAAGCTTTCAGCCGTTTTTACTGGTGAAAAGCTCAAAGAAATGTTTTACTTGATGGTGGATTGCGCCGATAACTTTGAAAGGTACATCGAGAAATTTGCGGAAAATTCTGAAATCATAGAGTTCCGGGAGCCGTGTGCCAAGTTTACCACGCAAGTTATTGGAGAGTGTGTTTTTGGATTGGACACAAAGTCGATTGCTGACGAGAATAGCGAATTTTATAGGTGCGGAAAGCATATACTCGAATCTAGTTTTCATAATACTTTTCGTCGCTGGTTACGAGATTATGTACCTGCTTTGTACGATATGCTGGGACCGTACAAGTTCAGCACTTCATGCTAACGACAAGACATGCAATCCTTATGTGGTAGCTTCACGAGTGAAGCTTATTGCGCCAATTAATGGGATTCATTTAAAAATTTAAAAATTATAAACGTTGTTTTGTACTCTTTAACGAATACATTATTTTTATCCGCAAAAAAATGTTGGCGGCAAATAACTTGAAATTGTATTGACAGACAAAATGCAATGTGATTTAAAAAGATTTTTAATTTGTGACGAAACAGTTGTTTATCTGCATTTGTCCGTTGCTCGACAATATAAATTTTACTCGTTTACTCAGAAAAATATTGTTGTTACCCAACTGAAGTAAAAATTAATCAAACAAATGGAAATAATTTCTAGGTACGATTGCTCCGGAAGTAAGTAGCGTAGTTTCACCAGTACAAAAAGTATAATCAGTGCTAAAATTATTATTTTTTCATTGACAAAATTTTAAATTATCAAATTTGTAACTCTAGCAATATCCACCCGATTGAGTTAAAATCTTTCAGATATCTTCAAGCTCATGCTTAAACATTACGGATTGCATCCAGATAGATTTTATTCAATGTATAAAATGTTCCTGGCACTTATAATATGAAGATCAGAAAAAAATATATTATTCTGCTGTAACTTTACACGTTGAGATTTTTGTGTAATTTTTTAATTCATTCGTACAAAATTTTTGAAATTTCTTTCGATAGCAGTTTGTTCAACATTCCACTGAATAATCCAATCTCAGTGAATTTCTTCAGACACAACCCCCCGAATAAATAAGTAACGGCTAATGTGCCTTTCGTAAGAAAAATTAAATTTTTTAAATAAAAAAAAAATTTGAAAAGTCTTCAGGTAACAACTAAATAAAAATTCAAGCATAATTTTTCCTTGTACGATTTTTCATGACTAATTTTGGAAAAGTAACGTAGATATATTTAATCTATTATAACTGTACCTACGTGATTTTGAAATTCGGACGTATCGTACGTTAGTCATTAATGACGAATCACACTCGGAAAAAAATAGCTTTATCCATTTCGAGTCGTTAATCAATGAGTTGCAATTTGTGTTCCACATGAAATTTTCACGTATCTTGAAAAAGACACTCACCCGTAACCAACATATATATACACGCCGGTATTATTATTACACATCCCAGGGAGAGTGCAAATTCAGGAAAAAGGGACGAATAAGTAAAAGTAAGCATCAGAACAGAGGGGAGCGTTGAGAGTCTATACATCTACACATACGACATTATTATACCAACACCGAGTCGACGGAGCTATAGGCGTGTCTCGCATCTGGCGAACGCCGGGCGGCGATTAATTAATCGACGCACAGCCGAGAAACTAACTGCGAGTTAATAAGCAAATTGCCGCGCAATAAACTTCTCGCTTTCCCCGCTCTCCCTCACGTATAATATAGATGTATGTATATACACGTGCGAATTCGCCCGAGCGCGAAAAGAGAGACGCCTGTGCAACGGGTACATACACACGGAGAACAGCCCAAGAATTCCTCACCCTCGGCCGCCTTGCACCCCCAGCCCGAGCCACAGCTGCGGCTTACGCTCCCTTCCCTTAACCATCGCACGCGTGTATATATAGCACGCCTGTACCAAGGGCTCGAGGTTTTTATCAAGGCCAAGGCACCCCTTGCTTGCCGCTACCACCATTGTAATTTAATGTCATTCATCCGCCGGATCGTTTCCTAAGTTATATTCGCCCTTATTAAAATCCGTTAAAAAACGTCTCCTCCGTCAGCCGAGGAGCTCTCCTGCCTTTCGGGGGCGTCGGCGTCATATTGCGCGGACTCGTAAACAAGTTGTCGGCACCCCCTCTCCCAGGGCGAGTCCTTTTTACGCGCGGGCGCCACCTTCGGCGCGGATATATAATCAGACTTTATTATCAAGGTCGCTAATAAAGGTTTCAGAGAGCAGGCGCGAGGAGCTTCAACCCTTTTCGGGGCTTGCGTTAATTTTGAGATGAATTTTTTTTTCCCCCCCCAGCTAATGGACGATGGAGGGGTGGAATTTAATTTTCGACTCTTTGGGCTCTGATTTATGTGGTCGTTTTTCACGAGTCTTCGGCTCTTGAATTTTCGTGATTGTCGTATAGCTCAGAGTTAACAACGCCCCTCTGGTACACAGTCCCCGGTTTTCTTTGCTCGATACACTTGGTCAATTGCGTGGAGTACAAGAATGACGAGTTTATCTTATGTGCTATCAAACTTTAACGCCACCACATAAACTGTACCGTAGTCGTATACAACCAAACCATTAATGGCCACTTTGAGATGCTACCGCGAGAGACTTAGCGGCCAGGCGACCAGGAGGATACAAGGTTTTCATGGCTGTTGTTTATAAGCGATGACTTGACTTCAACGACTTGGCCTATCACGTACGGTAGTCCCTGGAGGCTACTTGGATATATGGTTATATCCGACAAACAGCCAAATGTGTGCTAAAAAAAATTAAAAAAGTTGGAAGGGTACTATTTGACTGGTTTTTCGCATTAATGAATTATTTAGAACAATAATTGCACAAAAAAAAAGTGGTCTACGTGACTGGATGCATGTCTGAAATTTTGTTTTTCCAGAAGCTCCCAAACCTTACCTGCAGGCGCGCATATTGGGATTTTTCCAGTATCCATGGGCCCAGAGAGAAAATATGAACTTAGTGCTAATTTATACTATTGACAGCGAAAGCGTAATGTTTCTATGTATGGCTAATGATAATAGTTTCGGTGAATGAGACAACTCAATAGTACGAGTTTTACTGCACTCGTCGCGTTATCGAATTTTTCGGGATGAATGGTGCGTGGCAATTGAGTGATTACTTGTAATCATTTAAAAAACGATTATGTGTTAGTTTATCAAGTGTTAATACAATTGACATGACTCTGACAATAATCTTACTTAATTTAAAATAATGTAATCTGTGATATTTTAGACGGGCATTGAAATTCAATTATTGGAATAGCGAAAATGATGAGAGTAGTGCTTTGCGAGTTACCAGGTTTTTTGTCGCAGTTGTAATTATTTCTACATACAATTTACATCGAAGTATTTGTAAAAATCTTAGCTTAATATAAACATTGGTCAAAAGACTGTGGGATTCATGTACAAAGATTCATTAGCGTTATAACTATTATCTGTGGGTGATAAATAAAGAAAAAAAAACGTTAGCTAGAGATATGTCACTAATCGGGGATAGTAATTTGGAAAAAAGAGGGAAGTTGTCGAATGACAGGCAAAAAAAAACAGTTTTAGAAAGCTGATGAAAAAAAATCTTTATGTTTTGACGTGGAAAAAACGTCTTGGAATAATTTCTAAAAAGTAGGACTGTTGAAGAGACAAGAAAAAAAATGTTTATTGTTGTAAACCGGAATGTAACAGTCATTCAAAACTAGCGTACGAACATCTGACGAATCAACTACTTAACTGAGACTTTCACTGCTTTTAGAAACTTCACTTTCATTTGAAAGATTATGATATCGTGGTATTTTCTTGGAATGAGAAATCATTGTCCGATTATGATATTAAAAATAAATTGAGTTGTACATTGAATTTTACTATCTTTACAAGTACGTCTAATGTATAAATACGACTAAATGGATATTGTATTCATTTCGGAATCAAACGTCGAAGAAGTAACTTGAGAAACCCAATATGTTGGTGCTATGGAACACGATTACAATTATTCTACTTATTTTCTATTCCATAAACGCAGGTAAAATTTTATTGATTTAAAGTAAATTAAGGTTGTTACTCGTTTCAAAATATTTACATATTCGTACTTTTTTTTTACTTACAGTTCTTGCATTAAAATGTTACCAATGCGACGGTGACGTAGAATGTGCGAAGCAAACTCGAGTGCTATTCCCAAAAGAATGTGACGACAATATCCCAAACAATACAATGGAATGGCGTTGCATGTCAGTAAAATTAATAAAAAGTAAGTTAAATCATGAAAAATCCTCTGGCTTTGTTGTACCAATAACAATGATTTTAAAGTACATGTCTATTTGTTATTTATAGAAAACAAAACCGTGGAAACAATCTCGAGATCATGTACGGTTAAAAACATTTGCAAGGAAAACTTGAGTATCATAAAAAATCCGAGGAACAACGAAATTCACACTGTAATCGAATGTTGCGACACCAATTATTGCAACGTCTCACCGTATTTTAAATATTTAAATTTCTTTAAGTTCAATATCAATTATTTCTTTAATTTTTTTTCACACGTGAAAGATAACGTGAATGAATTTTCATAAGTTTCATTAAAATGTACGCCCACGATCAGGGCTTTTACAAGATATATAAATAAATACGCCATTTAAACACATCCAATGTGTGACTTTATCTACGTTAATTCAATCATCAGCTTAACGTGCGTCTTTTTAATTGTAATTGTGTTCTATTAAACATAACACTTTCCGTCCCAACCAAAAAATTTATAAGGCAACAAAAAAAAAAAAAAAAGATTCCGTAATCACCTAATTCAGTCGGCCAAATTATCATTCAGCCGGCAGTGCCGGTCCCTCGGCACGGCCAATCAATCCACCTGACAAAACGTACAATGGAGCATCATTGTATACATCAACTGGGCGATGGATTTAATCAACATCGTCAATAACATCGAAAGGACCTATACGGTACAGACATCCATGTATGGTATACGTAAGTAAACACACGCGTGCCCACCCATCGGGGATATGGGCAATAACAGTCGAGGCTCTCCTTTGCTCGAGGACGATACTTCATGCAAATCCTTTAATATCCGTTGATGAAGCCGCTCCCTTCGCAACCACTCACATCCACGAGTCCCCCGGGACTGTCACGCCGGGAGCCACACACGTATACGCGCGTGCTCCCTCGCTCTCTTCCCTCCTTTCATCTTCCTGGATTCCAGAGGCCACCCAGACATATATATATACAACCACTATACTACACCACGCGCGCCGGACACTGCAGTTGACACTCGTAAGGAATGACAGTTCTTCTTCCTCCGTCGTCACAAT